ATTGAATAGCAAATAGAAAATATTACCATCAAAATCATTAATTATGAGTAGCATAATAAAAAGCTGTCAGTTTTGTCTTATATCCAACTACCTTACCAAATTATCTAATTAAGTATCACGATATTGAATGATGTTACTTTAATTTTATATATAAACCCATCATCTTAAAATGAGGATATATTTGACTCTTTTTTCAACATCATGACTTTATTTTCTTGTCTTCTTGTACTGTATAGAACCTTCAAAATAATAATGAAAATAAAGGCAATGGCATCCATCTCTGTCTAGTTCCTTATTTTAAAGTCAATGGCTCCTGCAATGTAAAAAGACATTTGTTGTTGAATTTGGAATGAATAAGTTTTATTACACTTAAATTTCCCTTCCTTCCTTCCTTCCCTCCTTCCTTCCTTCCTCCCTCCCTCCCTTCCCTCCCTCCCTTCCTTCCCTCCCTTCCTTCCCTCCTTCCTTCCTTTTGACAGTTTTGCTCTTGGTGCCCAGGCTGGAGTGCAATGGCATGATCACTGCAACCTCTGCCTCCTGGGTCAAGCGATTCTCCTGCCTCAGCCTCCTGAGTAGCTGGGATTACAGGTACCCACCACCATGCCCGGCTAATTTTTTGCATTTTTAGTACAGATGGGGTTTCCCCATGTTGGCCAGGCTGGTTGTGAACTCCTGACCTCAGGTAATCCACCTGCTTCGGCCTCCCAAAGTGCTGAGATTACAGGCGAGAGCCACCATGCCTGGCTAATTACTTCCTTTTTAAGCTTATTTCCTATCAATTTATAGCTGCTACTAAAAATGACTGCTGAATTTTATCAAATTTGAGCATATAGTCACATGATAATTTTTCTCTTCTAATTTGTTGGCATAATAACTTGTTAAATTTTCTTGAGCCATCCTTGCATTCTTAATAAACTTAATTGCAATGTGTTATATCAATATACTTAGAATAACCTCAATTGCAGTGTATTGTATCAATATATTATTGGTTCTTTTTAGCTAATAGTCTATTTTGAATTTTCACATCTGTAGTCAAAAGAAAAATAGGTCTATGTTTTTTATTTGTTTTTCTATTTGGGTCATATTACTTAAAAAACATGAGTATGGGAGCTAATTGGGAAATATATCTACCATTTCTATGACCTGAAATATTTTACATAATATATCAATTCTGTGTTTTTTGAAGGCCACCAAAATTCAGCTCCAAAAGCATCTAGGTCAGGGTCTTTCTAGTGGTATATTTTAGTAATTTTAAAATATTTCATCTTATTTTTCATCTGCAGGTTTTCTACCTCCTCTTCTGCAAATTTTGATCTTTTGTATTTTGGTAAAATTAATCAATTTTTTCCTATATTTTCAAATGTATTTCTTTAGAGTAGTATAAATTGTTCTCCATATAATTCTTTTTATATCTTTAACTTTGGTTAGTGTTTTTACTCGTACATTCATGTTTCTACCCACCTATTTACTTACTAACCATTCAATCCTGTTACTTCCCTACCCATTTACTCAACACATATGCAGATACCCAATCCCCACTCACCTATCCCTCCCATCCCTTCACTGACACACCCTTCAACTTAGTACTTGCCCACTCCATATGTCTGTCCACTTACCCTTCTTACTCATCTTTCTTCTACAGACTCACTTGCCCATCCAGCCTTTAATTCATCTTCCTATTATTGACCTCTCTCCTCCCACTTTATCTGCACACACACACACACACACACACACACACACACACACTCTTTCATGCCCATAAAAATACACATTCATAATTTCTATACCTACCTCCCTCCATCCACCTACCAATGCACTCAACCACCTTTCATTCGAACGGCCCCCATCAATAGGCTCACCTATCCCATCACTACCCTATCCATCCTTATATTCAAGCCAATCCACTTATTCACCAATAATCTACCCATCCATAATCCATGCATTCATGCACCCAAATTTCCATGCTTCCTTCACTAATCCCTCTTCCTGTTCAACCATCTTCCCACTCATCAGTCTACCAGCCACCTACCCATCCACATATCTACTTACTTATTCACACACCTACCAATCCCCACCACCTACCTTGCTCATCCAGCAGGATGTACTGAGGGTTTATTTTGAGCCTATTCATGTTTTTTTTTTTTTTTTTTTTTTTTTTT